ATTCCAGTTTCAGTTCGGACCGGTTCCGATTCCCGGAACCATAATATGGCCAGCCCTATGTAGGAGTTATTAATTTTTTTAGTTTTTTTCACATTTTATAAAGAAAAAAAAAAGAAGAAAATATTTAAAGCGAACAAATATATAAATTATTCTAGGATTAGATTTCTTTGGACCGTTTATGAATTCACGTATAGACCAAACTAATAAACAGATAGACTGTTTAAAAAAATTATTTTCACTTTTTTTAATAAATGGTTAGTTAATATCCTCATTTTAATAAAAGTTTACTTTTGATTAATTTGATTGGTAAAGGAATTCACAAATCGGCTTTTAAGTCTGGATGTAAAATTAGCCCCCGACGTGAAAATTAAGCTTAGGTTTGTGAGAAACACCGTTCAGCATGGAACAAAATTATTCCACCACCCTTTTTCACTTTGCTATTGTGAGCAAGATTTGTGATGTTGTATGTGTTATATCAATAATTATAAGATTATATGCATATGAAAAAATATTAATGTGCCACGTGGTTAGACATGTAAAATTTTAAAAGCATTTTATATATAAAATATCGCCTTCCTTGTATAATCATCTCACGTTTATCCGCATTTACATTGATTACAAATAATAGAAGCTCATTACTATATACATATATTTTCCACTTTTGAAAAATAAAGACTAAGACGACGAAGAGTAAGACAGGAGTCTCGTAGAGACTAGAAAAGCCTTTGAAGCAATGACTTGTGCCTATTTCTTAGGGTTGTTTAAAGAGCATGACTCTACTGGGGCCATTTAGCCCTAAATCTATTGTTATAGAATCATATGCATAATTAATTGTTTCTATTTTCATTTTCTCTTTTTTACTACAACAATAGAAATTGCAAATGATAATGTGTTTCTTAAATACACTAAATATATATCAAGGTTGACTGTCATTTTATTCATCGTATTAACATATTAGTCTTTAATATCTTTCAGTTACCTCTGTAAATCAAAACGCTAGTACTTTTATCTTTCAAATTATTTTCATAACTTGTTAAGACAATCTAATTTTGAGTTTAGGAGACAAGGTGTTAGTTTGATTTATGAGATCAAATTAGAGTCAATAATTACGAAATTATAGATTTGATATAACATTGATCTAAATATCATATTATTGTAAAATACTATAGTATTGATCTAAATCTCATGTTATTAGAGAATATCATTATACAAATTTATTTTTCTATTACTGTCTTTATTTTCTTGTATTATCATTTTCTGATAATACCTACATTATATATTAAAAATTATTGAATAACACTAATACTTTTCATATAAAATTATTGAATAACACTAATTACTTTTCATATATATATAAATTATATATATATATATAATATATATATATATAATATATATTATATATATTTGAATATATTTTTTTAATTTATTAGAGGCTTTTATGAGTTGAAATAACACTGTGGGACTCACCAGATTAGTGAAAATAACTGTGATCGAAAGAATCCGGACTCAACACATCACGCTCTTATATAAGTGAGAAGACCAACGACACAGAATTAAATACTTTTATAAGAAAAATAAAATTAAAAGAAAATGGAGAACTGTTAAAATATTAAACACCTAATCTTATATTCTAGATTATTTAACTAGTAACAAAAATGAGATATAGTAAATTATGTGCACCCCATGATTATATTAACTTCTTTAATATTATTTTTGCAATAGCATATAATTGAAGCTAATTATATATATACAAAGCATGTGCGGTGCTTTTAGAGAGAGAGAGAGAGGAGAGAGAGAGAGAGAGAGAGAGAGAGAGAGAGAGAGAGAGAGAGAGAGGATTCATATATCTCTATGTCTTGCTCTGGAACAGTCAAAAATGGCCTAGGCCATCATCATCATCATCATCTAGGGAAGAAAGAAAGTAGTTTGAGTGATAAGTATGTAGATTCCTCTACTTATAGCTCCAAAACTATTGTATTTGTAGCTTAATTGGGAATTGGAATAACAAATTAAGTGCTCACTTCTCAGAATCTGTCAGTAGTGTTCTTGAGGAGGCCCTTCCATTCCTTGTGGGTTGAATCAAAGAATCATATGTAAATCACTTGTTGAAGAGGTTTGTATTTATTTTTAACTTCTTTAATTAAACAAAATCAAGTGAGCTATTTTTCTGTATTTTGTATGAGAGGGGAGGGTGCATTCTCTTTTTTTCTTTCTTTTATTATACCAACCGCATAACTTTCATAATGTAAGTCTCCCAATATGGTGTGTATATATTAATTTCATTGACAATAACCTTTTTTTTTCTGAAGGTAAATTTCATTCACAATAATATTTTCAATAGGAGTACATGATATATACTTCTTTCTTATTTTATTATTTATGGACTTTATGTAGAAATTATTAAGAATGGTTTATTATTTGATGGTCTGATCATATTCATATAAACTACTCCATACTCTTATTTTTAGAATCTAACTGTATAATCACTTATTTTATCCTTCTTTACACTGCTTATTAACGCTCCGTTTGATATAAATGAATTCAAATATGGAATTCATTTGTAAATGAATTTTCATGTTTGGTATAGTTAATTTAAAACATATAATTCAATTGAATTTCATATAATCATGTATGAAATAAATTCATAATTAAAAATTCATTTAGATCGAGATAACATCGTGAATTTAACAGAAAGAGTAGCGAGATAATATGGTGAGACTATATAATTAAATTTAAAAAAAATTAAAATCTTGATTACTATAGTTGATATCATCATAAAATTAAATAATAATTTACTCAAGTATTAACATGTATGTATATAATTCTAAACTTTTTCACAGTGAGTGAGCTACAAATTTTAAAATAATTACCAACATACTTTTAAATTCAGACTTGACCATGGATTGGTTTTTTGAATTTTAATCAAAATTCTACGCAATAGGTCTTTTATAATCCGCTAAACGCTTTGTTTGGTATAAATGAATTAAAAATGTGAAATTCATTTTTAAATAAATTTTAGATAGAATTGATTTGAAGTAAACTTTTTATGTTTTACTATGTTTTTAACATGTAATTTAATTAAATTTCAAATTTCATAAAAAAAATAAAAATAAAATTCATTTATTTTTATTTCTTAAAATACCCTTGGCATAATAATTTTAAAATGCTAAAAAGTAATAAACTTTGGATTGTTTAATTTTATAGAATTTATTTTGTAATTCTAATTATTTTATTAAGATTTAAATGAGTTATATTCAATTTTATAAAACTGAATTTGTAAAATTGAAATCTTCACTTTTTTTTCATTCTCCGCATAAAAATTTAAATTTACAAATAAATTGCATAAATTCTGTAAAATTCATTTATTCCAAATAAGGTAAATATTTAAATAAATGAAAATTTTGGAATTAAGAATTAAATCTTATTTCCTCTTTATATATATATTTTTTGAGTACGAATAGTCATATCTAATTTTCTTGTTAACATTTAACTATTAGGTTGATTTTAATTTTCTCCCTTTTGTTTCCTTTTGACGCAATTTGCTAATTATCCTGTGATGCTTGAAATTTAACTTAACCAGGATCTATTATATCATGAACAAAATAATTGAAATTGATACGCGATTGAATCTATACGCAGTCGTTCAAAGACAAAACCAATCACTTGCTTAACGATTGGTCTTTGAGTTATTCAATAGACGACGTCGCGGACATGCCACAACGCTGGACCGTTCGATGACCGAAAGTATAAAAGCCCCTTACCTTGAAACGACAGTTATTCAAAAACTACAAACCGGTACCTGATTAAAAAATCTCTCGGATCGGACAGAATTTCAATCCTAAAGAAAAATTGAAAGACCGGAACGGCATTTTAAAAAACCGAAGGTGGATTTTCTAAAAGTTGGATTTAAAAATGAAAATAAGAAATAAACAAGATTAAAAATGAATAATTTGTAAGTTGTCATACGAGCATCATGTATCCTTATTCTTAATATAATATCTATACCAATTATATATGATTAAAAATTTTTTAATGAAAATAATATAAATGACAAGAAATTAATAAAAATATTTGGTATGGATGATAACTTTCAATAGAAAAGAAATAAATTACTTCCTAAAATTTTCATATTAGAAAATAAATAAAAATAATTAATATTGTTTAAAATTTGAATTGTGTTACTGTAATTTTAAATTCAATCAATTTAACTCCATATTATTTATTATAAATATTAAAATAAGATCATGAGTTATAATATTAACAATCCATCTCTTTGAATAATTAAGTATTATGTAATATTCACTTGGGGAATATCAATATCCGCATAGTCCTGCTAGAGAGAATAAATGAGTTCTCTTCCTCACTGAAGAAGACAAACGCAACACACAAAGGGGTGAGGGCCAATTGAAATAATCACACAATTAATCATTTGCCCGTTATAATAACGGTTAGATTCTAAAATGGCTTGAAACGTTTAACTAATATTTTATTATTTCTTATATTAAATGTACATATAGTAGATATATTATTTTATTAATTTTTATTCCAGTGTTTATTATATGTTTAGTTGAAAGAAATAATATGGCAATAAAGGATAAATTTTTATTAAACGATCTTCAGTTGTATGGTGTAAATGCAATGCCTTCATACAAATATTGGAGTTGATTTTGTTTATAGCATAAGAATAAAAATGCTATTTTTATCAATTTGTTTTTACTAGTGAATGAATGGATGGAGAATAGAATTTCCATTTTCATTCCCATTCAAGCTATCATACATGGACTTACTAAAATTTAATGACATTTTTTTCACTACAAGTTAGACCAAAAAAATAATAAAAATTAAAATTTTATCTCTTAGTCTTTAATAATAATAATAATAATAAGTAGCTAAAATTACATATAATTACATAAAATGAACCGAAGCTAATAGGCAACCAGGATTTGTTTTGAGATGCTAAACCTAACAATCATATTTCTTAAAGATGCTGTCAAATGTCAATGGCAATTTCCAAGTCTAATTTTTTTCCTCCTTTTCTTGTCAAAGGAACAAATTTCAAAGCAGTAGATAAGGACACAATTAACAATTCAAAGCAATTAATACCATGTGAAGAAGAAAAAAAAAAAAAAAGAAAAAAGGGTGAGAAATTAAAGTAAGTCCTCTCCAATAATGTGCACTGATGTTCTGCACCTTCCAGTTGTGAGTTGTACAGTTACTGCATACAACAAACCCCTCCTATGAAACCCTAGAAAAGAAAAGGCTTACCCACTAAATTTCTATTTCTTACCGTAGTCTCTTTTCCTTCTATTCACATGCCAATTTAGTGTCAAAGCTGCTCAAACAGATTGCAAAAGCCTGAAATGCAGACAAAGGATATCGATAATCCATGGTGAACATATCCTTCCCAACCTTACCGAACTGAAGAATTATCTTGTCATGATCGGACTGGACAGGCTGCGATGGTGTTGGTGCACCAGCAGCAGGCTGTGTTGCAGCAATCAGTTGAAAATTCTTGACAGAGGCAACTGTTACTCTTCCTCGGAAATTGAGGCACCAACATTGCAACTGCTCATGCCATCTTGGTGCCTTATTCCGAAGAATTAATGGCCTCTCCTTTCCCTCTTCTTCCTCATCTCGGGGTCCAACAATGTCTGAGAACCGGGCACTGCTAAACTCGGTCGAATTATCAATTGATTTTGAGAAGGAAATGCTCCTAAATGAGTCCTCCAGGGAGCGAGGTAAAAGCTCGGGTTGGCCTGGGACAAATCCGCCAGGCTCAAGGGAAGATGCAGGGATTGAATGCATTGTGCAGTGCATCCTGCGTGGACCCCTAGTGCCCAGCACATTCAGCTCGTATGTAACTTGAGCAATGTTGTAGCTTCCAGTGGGAACCTTTGGAGAAACTTTTTTCGAATAGAACCTTCGACTTCGGCCAGGTGGGGAAAGCTGAGCATTATTGTAAGGGGGCTGCGTGTCATAAATTATGAATTTGGTGCCTAGAAAATTTGACCTGAAACAAGGGCAAATATGCATATTTCAATACAACTTGTACATGCAGATATTTACAAGACAAAAAACGATCAATCAACTCCATTTAACATTAGAAGTTGATATTGCAATTAAACAAAATTTATGTAGCTAAACAACTCCTGTAAAACAAACTTGCACTGAATGCATACCTTCATTTTCTATAGAGTTACAGTTCTTTACCATATTAAGAAGAATAAATTAACTTGCGTTCATCTGTTATATCAGTTGTTTTTTGCATAGATATACCCAAGATCAAGCAAGTAATTTCAGATATGCATGACAATTCCATCCATAATTATATTAAATATAATTTTAACTTAATGACTTCCATAATTGAAACTTATACATCCAATCATTCCAAATTTTATACGCTGCATGTAGATGAATTGAGACACTGAATTAAACAGTTTGTTTGCAAAAAGTAGAAGAAAGAAAAGAAAAAATACATTACAAAGCAATGTCACATAAGTTCCTGCTACTATATTAGCACTGAAGGAAGATGAAACCTATATCGTACATATGAAACTAACTTGGGAACCATATGGACTGTTAGATTGTTTAAAATGTTTCATGTCAGCAACAAAGGAAATTACCCCAAATTTGAACAAGATAGTTTAGACAAGTGTACGATACAGCTGTGTGCATTAGCAAAAGATCAAATATGGAAACACAGAAAACTCCTACCTCAGCTTTCCAATATAAGTGCTGCTTGATCTTGAAATGTTTTCTGCATCCATGGAGATTACATACTCCGTGCAAGTAGTTCTTCGGGTCCGTTTTGCAGACAGCAAGAACTTCCCATTTTCAACAAGCAAAGCTACAACAGCATGGGAATAATCAATAGAGCATCAACAGATGGTAAGGTCGGTAACAAAGTACAATAAAGGAAAATAAACAATTATACAGAACATCACAGCAGAATCAGAGTAATATGAAACTTTTATTGCCTTATAATAACTTAGCAAGGAAAAAAAGACGAATGAGAAGAAACAGAAAAAACTGCTTACAAGCAAAAACTCAGCAAGAGGATCAAGATAGCTCAATAGAATGGTCAGGCTTATGGCAAGAAAGAGAGATTATAAATTCGTCTTCATACTTAATGAAATTAATTAGGTAAGTCGTCCTTCAATGAAAAATCTTCACAGGCAGTACAGCATAGAAATGAAAATTTACAGGTAATATAAATAAAAAGTAGCAGCAATGTGTTAATGAAAATCTCCATGTGATACTAAAAAAAACACAGCAACATAGGAATATGTCAACAGAACTGAAAGCATGCTGCGAATGATGCAAGTTTGGAAGAGTGTGCATGTGAGAGGGAGAGAGAGTAGGCCTAGATAATGTTACTATCACATTCGTCTCGGTCATTCTTGTTAGATGAATTACAAAATATGCCCAGTTTTGGCGTGAAGCTTCAAAGTATCATTCTTCACCACATAGAAATTTCATAACACGGCCATAAAGAAGAAAAATGACAAGAATTCCAGATAATATCACATAACAGTCACATGAAGTTATCCAGAAGTGAAGTGTCCTATTACAATCAAATGTTCGAGTAAAAAATTCAAAAGTTCCATGGTTAAAAGACCACATGATTTGAGATGAAATGCTCACCAGGGCTAAGACAAAGGAAAAGATGGTAAGTTAAGTTTGACTTGTCCCTCTTAATAAAGCACTGAATGGTTGAATCCCTCGGCCCTGGCTGTAAGCCACGAACAAAACAAACATGTCAATTATCATTGTGTATTGTACAATCACAAGACATTAACTCATGTAATGATATTAAGGAGGAAAGATAAAAATCACAAGAGACTCACCTGCTTTAGGGAAACTGGGAACGTAATCTTTCCAGAGAACTCAGGACTCGTGACAATTTCTTTGCACATTTCCCTCCATGACCTGCAAACAGCAGCGCAGGCAACAACATGCTTCCGAGCAGGCCAAGTACTCTCACTGGCCTCCAATCTCTTTATCACATCACGCAATAACTCAGGTGGTAGGCTAGCCCAGCGACTGTTCTGGATGACCACAGGCTGGTCATGCAACTCACTGACTGAGCTATGAGATTTCCCCCTGTGATGACCCGGTAACCGCAGCTCAAAACTCCGTCTCGATAAACTCCCAAACCCATCTCTCACGTCACGAACTATACTACGGAAAGACATCTGCTCCAATACACTAATAACCCTAACTGAATAAATACTTCAGTATGATTGCATAAAAAATTATTTACACACTCGAGTTGATGGATGACTGCAAACCATAACACTGGCACACAACTGCAAATCAACCAAACTTATTTAAATTTTAGCTGCAATGCTTATTCACCAAGAAAGAAAAGATAGAAGACAGAGAAGGAAAAGCACAAAGCAAGTAAAGAAGATTCTTATAAAAAAAAATACTCACATGGACAAAAAGCACCTAAAACATCAGACTTTTCTCAGAGACATCTTTTGGAGGGTTTTAAACCTGATCTTTAAAACCAAATTGCTACTAATTCAAAGCTAACTATTAAGTGCACTCTTATTCAAATTGGAATCTTAACATAAAGGAAAAGAAATAATTATCTACTACTTTGCAAACCATACTTTAGAGAGAGCGGGTTACAAAGAAAAAAGAGAAAAAGAAAGACCAAACTAATTCAATCAATCATCTAACTTCCGATATAATACAATGGTATCCAAAATGAAGAATCCTACAAAAACAAGTACAACAAACAACATATTTATCTAACAGCACCCCCCCCCCCCCATCTAACTTCCGATATAATAAATGGTATAACCAAAATGAAGAAATCCTACAAAACAAGTACAAAACAACAACCATAATTTATCTAACAGCACCCCCCCCCACAACAAAAAAAAAAAGGGGGGAAAAAAACACATCTTTGGGTCAAACTTGATGTTGAAAAAAAGCACAACAAAAAAAAAAAGGGGGAAAAAAAACACATCTGGGTCAAACTTGTGTTGAAAAAAGCAATCACTAAAATTTTGTAGATCAGAACGATTTCCTCTAAACTAAACCTAAAAATAAATAAGAAAAATAATAAAGATGATAGTTTTCATCATCATTGTGGATGATGATGAACTATCTGACCCGGTTCCTTTTTCTTTAATTTACATTTTTGGCCCCTAATTTATACAAAATGTGAAATTAACCAAGATTCATTGAGCGTTTTCTGGAGTAAACTGAAAAGCTCAGCTATTTACATATCAAAAACAAGCATTTCAAGTTTCAAACTGGCAAAAAAAAAAAAAAGAAAAAAAAGACGTAGAGAAAGAAAGAGAGACTAACCTTTGAACCACAAATGTGCTGAAAAATCCGTTGTCTCTTCACTGATCAGGAAAATGAAAACAAAGATCAGTCCGTCAAACACATACTCTGCATCAAAACCCAAACTTTAGCCTCAAAAAATGCACCAAAATCTCAAATACTTAAAAACCCACCTAAAAATAAAATTATTCAAACCCCCAAGAAATCAATTTTCATAATCTCACATACTAAAAATGGAACTTTTTCATTTCCTAATAAAACCAAAAAACCGAGGGAAATTTTTCTCCAGAAACAAACGGAGAAACAAGCGAATCTAAAGAAAAAGGAGGAGATCTAAAAGAGAAAAAATCAACAGAAGAGAAGTGTAAGAAGAACAAGAAGCACAGCTCACCATCTTTGTCTCTGACAGATCCTTAGCTTTACCACACGGTTTCTTTCTCTTTCTCTCTCTAGTTTTGGTTTCTCTCTCTAGAAGAGAACTACGCGGACTTGAAACTTGATTAAATCCACTTCACGAACTAGCATAAAAGGAAGTTGCTTTAATTTTTTTAATTAATCAATTAATTAATTAAATTGCTTAGGAGAAGCGTATCATGTCATTTCATCATCTTTAATTTTTTATATTTTTTTCTTTTTTAAGGGTGGACTAAGGCCTAAGGGAGATTTAATGCGTTAGCCAGTTAGCCTGTCCTTTGTAAAATTACTATTTTGGGCATCTAACGGTTGACCTTAATCTTTCCGTTTTGAAATTCCAACTTCCCTTACTTAGCGCTTAACAGCGGCTTCTTGTCATTTTACTTTTCTTTTTCTTTTTTATTAAATAAATTTTGATATAGCGCAGCATGAGGCGCACCTTAGAATGAACGGCGTACTGTATTACCACTTTTTTTTTTTTAATTTAAGAAATATGTTTTTCTTCTTCGATATTTCCATTTGACTTTTGTATATGTCGATCTTACTTCAAAATTTGTCTTAGCATTTCAATTTATTGATAAAACTATATGCAATTTAAGTTGAATTTTCTTTCTTCTAATTCTTGAAAAAAAAATTAATTTAATATAGCATAAGAAAAATATATAAATGTTTAATTAATTTATATTATTCTTATAAAATATTTTCTCTTCACTTATAATTAATTTATTGTTTAACGTATTTTTGTTGATAATAGTTAAAATTACTATCTTTTAAGAGTTTTAACTATTTATTGCTAATTACATTTTTATCCAACCCCACATGGAAATGAAAAACACAAACCTCCATTTTTTCTCATCTTGAAAGCACTTTCTCCTGAATATTGAATTTAATAATACTATATATGTTGTTTGGTGATATCATACTCCACGTATAAAATTAATTATTATTATTAATTTTTAAGGTTAGAATATTTTTTTGAGAGGATTGGTGGCATTGTTGGTGGTTAGCAATGTTATGCTGCAATTGAATTATTTACATATTATTTATTGGAAAAAAAATGTTTATTTAGTTTTTTCTTAAAATAAATATTATTTGTTTATTTATTTATTTTTATTGTTAAGAAAAATATTGAGAGGTAGGTCATGTGACCAAAATTATGACATGAAGCACGCTGCAATGATGGGAGACTTGGGGTCGTTTAACGACGATATCACCCTTCGTTGAATCAACAAATAACAAACATGCCCTTGTGGGTGTACCTTTATGTGCAAGTGGAAATACGTGCGTTTCAGCTTTTGGGACTTGGAGAAGCCGACCTACTATTTTAGACTTTTTCTTTTCTTTTTTTTTTTTTTTTTTTACGCTACTATTTTAGACTTTTTTCTTTCTTTTTTTTTTTTTTTTTTTTTCCCTGTGGTCTTTTGTGGTTTTTAGGTCCTATACGCTGTTTGCGAAGCTTCCTATTTTTATTATTAAAAAATGAAAAATAAAGAATTTAAAAAAAGACGAGGAATTACTATATATTTCTTAGGAATTAGCGGAAATATAATTCAGTCCCCTTTTTTTTTTTTTCCCCTTTTTTTTTTTTTTGGTAAAATCACTAATTCATGTCATTTAGTTTTAAAATTATCTTATTAAAATATGCTAATTAATGTTATATACTCCTTCCATTCCAAAAAAATAATTCATTTTCTATTTTCACACAAATTAAAAAAGTAGTAATTGTTATAGTTAAATTCATAAACTGTTCTAAAAAGTTAGTCCACTTTTTATTTTCACACAGATTAAAAAAGTAGCAATTTTTATAATTAAAGAACATTTTATTCGTATAACTTTCATAGAGAATTATTATATTGAAATAATAAGTAAGTATTGATGAGGGTTATTGAAAATAAAATAAAACTTAATAAGAGTATTATAGATAATTTAAGGACTAACTATATCGCAAAAAATGAAAGTGGACTATATATTAGGCCAAACCAAAAAGGAGAGATAGACTATCCTTTTGGATGGAGGAAATATTATATAATATTTGACTTCGGTCATTCATGTATAATACTCCATCAGTCCTCTATGTATAGATTCACATTTCTTTTTCATTTGTTCCAAAATATAGTCTTATTTCATTTTTTAAAATATCATATTGTCACGACCCGATTCCATGGGCCGGACCGGCACTAGGGCCCAGGTAAGCTTAAGGCCCCCGAGGCCCGTAGTCAGGTAAGTGCTTAAGGCCCCCGAAGGCCCGTAGTAGCCTGAAACATTAGAGTCTATGATCTCGTGTCTAAATTATAAAAAAAAAAAAAATAAAACTTCATAATTTGAATTATTTTCTCCGCCTAAGTTTATCTTCTACATTTCACAGTTCGAGGCCCGCATTTACAATATAAACACATTTGGGCTAACAGAATTACTTCATCTATATTACTACACGACTAGACGTATGTAAATTCTACAACTGCGGAGTCACTAACTGTTTGTTATACATAGCTTCTTGTACATATAATTACATAGCAAAACAATTATGGAACTGGGAAAACTTCTTAATAATCCTGCGACGAAGATAACATAGTTTAACCCGAATTAAAGAGAAACTACTTCCTGAAAAATTTAAGCAATACATGTGAGTTTTCTAAGGAGTAATAATTATTACACAACACACGCAGTCACACAATGTGTACACATATTAATCTAGTCATCCGACTAGTTATATACACATAATTAATCATACGGTCCATCCGACTGAGTAAATAGGCTTCACGCAGCAGTCACCACACAATTGGCATAATCATCAGCTATTCATCAATTCATTATAACAATCTCTCCATATAATCAATCACGTGGAAATTAAGCAGTGGCGCCACCTGAACACCCAACGAGCCGTCCCTCACACATGGCGTCCGCCCTCCTATCATTACATGTGTTACACTCACGGGACAGCCAGATCCCCCATACGGCCAAATGGCTCGCCTATCTCTCACTGGACCCAGCGTGCCTCTCATTATTTTTCCGCGATATCTCTCGTGTCTTTCCATACACAATCAGGGAAGTTCAATCCTGTAAGTGAGTCTCATTCCAATCTAGATCAATTCAAGTGACTCAGCGATACAGGAGCACCCCTCAGCTGCACAATCAAATCAATAGCAATATATAGCATTGCGCAACAACAAAGTAAGCCAATCCCTGTCTGTGATTTCCAATATAATCTATATCATCCATGGTTGCACAAAGGGTAATGGACGACCGAATCTCTCCCGATTTTTATTCCCTGGCCTTACGTTACCCTTTTTTCCGATACTTCACAGCGCTGTCACGGTTCAAATAATTCTTAAGTGCATAAATCGGACTTATAATCGACCAAGAACGTCCTCGATTCCCAAGACCACTAATGGTGGTCCACTTCTTAGCCCAAATTCCACACCAAACCCAAAGGCACATACATATTCACTGCACAAGTTATGTAGATCCAAACAATGCAATGCACAACATGCAGACACTTTGATCAGTTGAGCCATTTCATAGATGCAATCTCGACAAATTAAAATGGCATTTCACCCACTTCTTTTTACAACTACAATTAAAAAATTAAATTTATAATGATATCATTTAACCAACAACAAAGTGATAAATATTAAAATATAATAATACATAATATTAATTTGTCATCGCAATCAATACTTATGAGTAATAAATAATAAATAATAATAATAATAAATCACGATGCATACATCATAAACAATCGTAATAGAACATAATTGAATAATTAAATATAAATTTAAAAATGACAATGATCAAAATAAATTGTAGACACTCATATTTATCTACATATTGTACTAGAGTTATAGATATTAATCTAAATAAATTTATTCATATATATGTTTATTACTTAATAATTAGTTCTAATTCTATTGAAATCCTGCAAGCCAGCACCTCCCCCGAAAAATTAGGACTAGTCCCGACCTAGTTTTAATGAATACACGATGACTGTATCCACTTTTTATAATCTCATTCCAATGACACAGGCCCATCCGTTCGGGCAATCAAATCAAGCTTAATATTTCCCGATCCATCCTTCAATGCTAAGCATACGTGCTAAGCTATCACAATACCCCATCTTCAAATCGTATCCTTATCCACATTATACATTACTATTTACTATCTGTTTTATACTATAGATATATATATATAATATTATATATTCAACGCCCTATTCTCTAATACAACACACAAAACTCAAATGATTTGATTTGACCAACTTGCAGAGAATAAAATGTTTTCTAAGTCCAAATCTATTGGACCGATAAAACAGCATATAACTAACTATTTCTAGTTCATGAAAATACAAATTGTAATAACTCAACTTTGTAACTCTATAGTTTACAGATGTTCCACAAATTATAATTAAATTTGATGCATTTATGCTGCACAAAAGTTAAGCAAGCCTTTAGGCTCATGGTTAAATTTTCACATTTTACTCACTAGCTACACTCCACTTCACCCACAAGAAGCTATAATTGTACCATTCACAAATCCCTATCCCACAAAACAATTATTAATTCAAAAAGAACCAGAACTAATTTAACTATTGCTGCATATGCGATGCCGTCAAGGGAGCGCAAATTCACTATCAAATTCTCTAACTTTAATACACCTACATTATATCCCCCAATTCGCTTAAAATTCATTACTAAAGTTCTAGAATTAGGCAGTTACGGAACCGCAATGATTTCCTGAGTAACATTTTGCACAGCGTGTTAAGTTCAATCTCACTCTCTCACAAGCTAATCCAATACAATAGCTTAAACATAGTATCACCCAAATACCCCGCAACAAGTATACATGAGACCAAGTCAAAGGAAAATCATATATCCATGATCCATGTTAACACCTATCAAAAGAACACAACATATTCAAGAATGAGCTTTGCTGACGCCATAAAGAATACTATGTTCCTTCTAACAAACTCTTCTGAAGACTTATGCGATATCTCTAATAACTTCACACTTTATTAAATAATATTTTTATAATATATGCAGTAAGTTTCAACTCTTTCACCATCATTAAATTTCAAAATCATCACCTATACACACATATATCCAAGTATCAACTAACAACGAGTTCAAAGGCCAAAA